TGAATAAAACAATAATAATATATATATATATATGAATACATAAAACTCATATAAATAAAACAAAAAACATTCATATATGAATAAAACATTTATATATGAATACATAAAATTCATGAGGATTCAAAATATATAAAATAAAACATAACTTATTCATATATGAATAAAACGGAAAAAATAATAAATTCGAAATTACAATTAACACACGTTTATTCATATATGAATAAGACAACAATTTATTCATTTTAACATATTCATATGTAAATAAAACATAACTTATTCATATATGAATAAAACGAAAAAAGTAATAAATTCGAAATTACAATTATCACACGTTTATTCATATATGAATAAGACAACAATTTATTCATATTAACATATTCATATGTAAATAAATGATAATCAACAAAATTAAAAACAACAAAATAATTCAATAACTGATACCTTCAAAAAATAAGTTCTCAACATCTTCTTCTTCACTCTCACTTATAGAAGAATACAAATCACCATCAATAACACTAGAATTCGATATAATACACCAAATGATCTATATAAATAAACAAAAAACAATCTTAATATCGAATATATCTCACAAAAAAGGTCGTAAATATGAAAACCTGGTTAATTTCGAATATATCTCACCTCAACGTACATAATATCTGAAAGAAACTTAAATCATATATGATCATATGATGTAATTAAGCAATCTCTCTCAGTACAGAGTGTAAAAACTACAACAATATAACTGATGAAATAAATATCTCAAACTACTTAACAAAAATCCGATGAAATAACTTCAATACATATTCGAAACTTGATAATCTTCATAATGAACTCCGATGAAACAACTCCAAAACGAATATAATAAGCGTAATTCCAAACAAATTATAAAAAGCAATAATCTTGATAATGAACTTCGATCTATCCGATTTAAACGATATACATACCTGATCAAATCGGAAACTGAAAACGAAGTAGAAAACTGAAACACATATGCGAAACTTCACGATTAATGGAATGAAAACGTATAATTGCTAACGAGTTATATAAAGAAAATAATATTGATAATGAATTCCTCATATCCGATTTAAACAAGATAAAGATATCATCAAATTGGAAACTGATAACACGAACAGGTAGGTTCTATGTAAAAAAGTTGCTAATTTACAAAGATACCCTTAATGAAAATGGACACGCGCATTTTTTTTAATTTGAACATGTTAGAGAAATGATTGGCTGAGAATGATTCATCCATTCTCAACCTTTTTTATTTTCTCAATTGAACCTACCTACCTACCTACCTATATATATATATTATAATATATATATATATATATATATATATATATATATATATATATATATATATATATATATATCCTACTCTAATAAATGAGTACCTTAATTTCCACGTGTCATCTCCTCAAGCCCTTCTACATTTTTCTCCTGCCTATTTTACAATCTACTTAATTTACGAATATACCCTCCTACTTCTTCAAAATCGAATTCCAGTTCTCCTTAAATCTCGCAATCTGGATATCATTTTTGATTTCTTCTATATATCGTTCCATTTCCATTACTGATTGAATTATCAAGCTTACATTGTATTCGTAATCTCACAGACACACAGAAGACGAAAATAGGGTTGGAGCATATTCGTGATTGAGTTGCGATTTACACGTTCTTGATTTTTCTGTTTCTTTTGTTTTAGATTAAATTCTAATGTAAGACTAAGGCATGTGTCATCTGATATGTTCAATGTTGGATTTGGGAGAAGTAAGGTTATGGTTTTATTGTTACAGACTTACAGGTTTTATTTGGGTTTTGGTAACCACCGTATCTCCTATACCCTAAGATTTAACAGGTGCAGTTTTCTTATTTGCGATAGGGGATATGGTTCAAGGCATCTCCAGTAACGTCTTTACTCTAAAGATTTCGTTCACATAAATGTAGTGTTCGTTCACGTATATGTAGTGTGTATCTCTTTGCTGGAAATTAAAAAAAAGGTAAGAGAAACATTTGATTCGACCTAAATAGATTTGATACTGTAAGCTTAGGTCTTGATGGTACCGGTGGTTTTCCAGTGATCCAGTTTCTCCAAAGGGGATTCAAATCCATATGGTTTTGAGCTTCAAAATACTTCGACATGGTTGGATATGGGGCCTCCTATTAGTCTGTGGAAATTTTTCTACGGGTATATATCATTTATAAGCAATCATTTGGGTTATTCTACATATAATCAAATTTTCTTTTATTTTTCAGCCGGTGGTGCTAGAAAATGTGAAAGTTTAGAAGGGGGAAAAGGATTCATTATTCCCTAAAAATTATGATTTAAGGTATGAGTTCCAATTATCTGAGTGGGTAGATGGGTTGATGGGGGAGTATGAATAAATGCATTTCTTTAATAATTTTATGTGACGGTTTCTATATTTCGTTGCTAGAATGAATTATATGGAGATAAAACATGAAGAGGTTGTTGTCGTATACTATACATATGCCAATATCTTTTATTTGGGTTCACGAAGAGATAGATGTGGCTGCAAGCCAACTAATTATGATATCAAAAGATGATTTTGCTAATATTCAACATAGTTGTGAGTTCATTTATTTATTATATCGTTGAACTTTCAAATTTTGTGAACAAGACATCTACTTTGGAAATTTTACCAATATAGCACTGCACTTTCATTTCTTTTCATACTTAAACATTATACTTCAGAAAATATGTTGCTATTTCTTTCATTTTAACCTCGCGCATTATGCTTTACTGTTTGGATTTTTTTAGGATTTTCATGTATTATCTATTTCTTGCATTTTACCATTTTTTTTCTCTGTCACACGTTTAAGATTATATCGGCCCAATCTAATTCTAAAGCATTTTACTCCTCACATATTTAGGATTCTTTCTTCTTTATAAGGTGTTTTTATGTTACCTTAACGATACATGTTCTCCACATTTGCATACTTACATTGACATCCCTTAGTTTTTTTTATTAATTTTGTATTTTATTTTTTTGAGTAAAAGGTTAGATATAGAAAGCTATAAATCATCTCTCTGGCACAATAGCAAGCTTTAGGTTGGTCTCTCTATTACAAGTTATGGTAAACATTTACAATTTTGTTACTGTTATTTTTGGAGTGATAACCATTTTATGATGGTTGATGTCGGCTTTTGAATATAAAAGGACAATCAACTTAACCACTTACCGGATATAGCTCAATTAATATGTTCAACAAAATATAGATACTATAAATGACATATTTCTTTTAATGTTATTTATATACTAAGGTTCTACAACTCTACGTAAGTGAAGAAACCACTTCTATCCTATGGGCAAAATGACTAACAAAGTAGTACAATATAATAAATGGTAACCAAGTCTTGAGGCTCACACGTATACGCCTTAAGCCCTTCATTGGCCCCTTTAAATGTATTTCTTTTTTTCAAAAACTATCAAATAATTGCTAATTCTAAAAAAAGTTATAAATAGAAACTAAGTTATCACACCTGTACTAAAATTAAGAAAAGTTAATTTTGTAACACGGAAGTTATCAAAATCATTTTTATATTCATAGTTTGTAACACATAAATTCCTAAAAGGTTTTATTTTTTTTAATATGTTAACGTCAAAACATAAAACAAAAATCTTACTACATAAAGGACAAATTTATAAAAATAACAAAAAAAGCAATGTTGCTTGTCCAAAGTGAGAAACCAAAATGATTTGGTTTGATTTTAATTATATTCAACGAATCAAACCAACCTATATTTTTTTTGTTATTTTATTTCGTTTATAACTTTAAGTATTCATTAATTTTTCATTTCAATTAGGTCGTCCTGTAAAATATCTTTTTAGAAATTATTGAATAATTTCTTTAGAAATTATTGAGTAATTTCTAAAACATTTGGTTTTTATTCATGGTTGGTGTTATGTTACCTTTATGAAAATAAAAAATAGAAAATTATTAAAAATATTAATTACAAATAAGGATGGTGGACTTATCACAAATGTTGTATGCAAAGAAGTCTCTACAAATTTCTAATGTTGTATGCATAGAAGTATCTGCAATTTATTTCTATTAAAACAATATTGTTTTAGATTTTATTTATTTATTTATTTATTAAGACGTTACATTTTGAAAAAACAACCAAACCTTATCATCCTAATTATTATTTGTAACGTAAAATAACAATGTAGTTAGTTTTGTTAACTGAAAAAACTGATATAGCTTTCATTTCCAAAGAAGATTATTTTCATGATTTTATCAAATATACTTACTTACAAAACGTAAAATGGATATTTATTTAAAAACAAAACTATAAACTTAATGGTAAAACTTTTACGATTTTAATTAATAATTTTTTCAAATATTTAATTAGATAATATGTTTTTTTCAACCGTGGTTTCCACGGGTTTAAAACTAGTATATATATATATATATATATATATATATATATATATATATATATATATATATATATATATATATATATATATATATATATATATATATATATATATATATCCATGGATTAACATTTATAGCAAGTGTATTTAAAACAAAGGTTACATCGATGTTACCTAAGTAAAATAGTTTCTAAAACAATGATTAATACATAATATATAGAAAAACAATCGCATACTGACATACATAAGACCAATCAAAATATATTATTATTTTATGATATTAATTATCACCATTTGTTTATTATCTAACAAAATTGTCAAAGTTGTCAATCCAAAGTAAAACAATGCATGAACGAGGAGCTCACTATATAAACATACACCCGATCCACCTATGCATTCAAAAACATCTTCTTCCCTCCAATTTCCTCCGCCACACAAAGCCGATTCTGATCAGAAACCCTCCAATAAATTCTGATTCTTCTCCGATACTTGGAGATTTGTTCAAAATATTCCTCTAAATTCTTCATCTTAAACACACACACACACAATTAGTGTTTGTCACATTGAAGTGAACACGCAAAGCTTAATTCAGCTATGGCCAACCATCGTGATCAAAATCCATTCAGTCATGACGATGATATCAATCCTTTTGCGGTAGCTGTGTTTTTTCTCTCTGTAAAGACAAAAAAAAATAATCAGTATATGTATATATATACTCATGAATTCACCGTAATCCATTTGTGAAATGTAATGTTCAAAATTTTTAAAAACAACTCAAAGGATTGTGATTGGTAACCTATTCATATAAACTTCTTAATTATTAGAGTAAATTACTGAAATCGTTCCTATGGTTTGGTTAAAATTACACGTTTTGTTTCTAACATTTTTTTTTATATTCGGATCGTCCCTATGGTTTGGTGAAAATTGCATGTTTAGTCCCTAACTTTATGTATGTAAGGGACGAAAAACGAATAAAATCAAACCACAGGGACGATCCGAATGAAAAAAAAGTTAGGGATCAAACGTGAAATTTTGACTAAACCATAGGGAACGATTTCAATAATGTACTCTAATTATTATATTTGTTTAATTATTTTTTATAGAATCATAACAACAATTATCAAGTCCCTCCAAGCTCCAAGCTATCAACTCTTGATCCTGAACCTCCACTTTTCTACGGTCTTAGTGGCGCTGCTGCACCTCAAACTTCTCTTGATACGTCTGCGGTAATTCAAGTTTTTAATTTGTTTTATCTTTTATATATATATTGAACTAGTTGATTCTTTCATCTTTCATTATATCCTTTAAAAACAAACCAAACTTTTTTTTTTATATATATATACATTTTTTTGTGTGTTAAAACTAAAGAGATAAATGTCATTATTTTTTTAGAAAGTTTATTACATTTTATATCTTCACCGGATCATTATAAAAAAAAATTGATTTTGCTCTACAAGATTATTGTATTTTGTCTTATTTATGAACAGTATGATTGATAAATAAGAAAACAGTTTTATTAAACTATTAACTTAATTAAACGTCGTATTTTTTCAAAATGATTCATGAGTTGCTGATCTTGCAAATGTGTTTTGAAAATAGAAATTAAAGAAGAAGAGACAGGAGTTGGAAGCTAAGGAGGCTGAATTGAACAAGAGGGAAGAGGTAATTTATTCAAGGGTCAAAAGTAATAATTTAATTTCAAATCATCAAATTTATCAAAAAATTCTTGTCTGATAACCACAAATAATTGTTACCGAAATTAAAATCTAAAAGTATATTTTCATTTTGAAAAAAAGACAGGCATGAATCTTTTTCTATTAAAAAAAAAAAGCATTGTATGAGAATTGACTTTTTGTCATTTTTTTTAATTGATAATCAACTTTTAAATTTTATCATTTAATTTAACAAGTCAAATTGATGAATTTACAGTGCCAACACATCTAATGACAAAATGACCGGCTCTCTCATTTAATAGTAATTTTTAAGTCATATCCAATCCATTCAATTTGAAAAAATACGTTTACGTTGATGTGACATTCACATCAAAATAAAAAACTACCGCACCTTCTCTCTTTTTTCTCATCGATTAAATGGTAATTTTTAATATAATAAAAATTCAATCATAAACCTAGTTATTTAGATGAATTACAATAAATCATCCATAAAATAATCAAAATTGTTGGATTAGAAGACAAACTTGTCGATGTAAAATTTACAATGTTATAACTCATGGAAAAATGATAGGAGAATGTTGCCATGTCATCAACATTGTTGACATGATATCTTCATCGCTCTATATTATCAATATGCCAATGACACGCCATCAAGACCATGTTGTATCATCAACTATTGTCATTGGTTATAGGTACTTCTTAAAATTGAATGTCTTAAAAGTATAAATGACAGTTGGTTATATAAACTAAGAATAATAAAAGTTTGGTTGTTATACCATGCATTCTATCCTGTTATGAGAAATGCATAAAACTTGATCTTGTTATTTTCAAAATAAATTATACAATATGATATTATTGTGAAGAAACACTTCCTCTTATTATCTTTAATCAAGATATGAAAATGAATATCAAAAACCTAAACCTATAACTATATCTAATTCTTAATAGTTATTTAATTGATTGCAGATTCTTAGACGAAAAGAAGAAACGCTAGCAAAATGTATGTTCTTAACTTCTTATCACTTTCTGGACCCCTTAAATGATGAACTAATTAAAGAAAATATAACCTAAGATGACCATAAATGATCCACAAAGTTGGCTTTTGGTGGTATTAATTGCAAAAATGATCAAAAGTTAAGCTATGTCGCATGCCAAATATATACCAAATTTACATGTCATATGATGCTCATGGAGTGGACTTGTGTAGACTAGATAAAAAGGTGCCTACATGCACCTTTTTTATTATTATTGTTTTTTTAAGAAGATGTATATATAAATAAATAAAAATCTATTCCCGAAATCTCTTAAAAGCCAAGTCTATTAATTAGTGACTACACAGTTTGTTTATAAATATTTTTTCTAATTTTTATTGTTAATTAGCTGGCGCTGTCATTAGACCTAAGAATTGGCCTTCATGTTACCCCCTTGTTCATCACGATATTGCTAACGACATACCACTTCATCTTCAACGTATACAATATGTTGCATATGCAATATTATTAGGTATGTTTACTAGCTTTGGTTTTTGTTGCTATAATGTTTATATAAAATTGAAAGACAATAAGATTATATTACGTTGCTTCAGGAGTGCCAATTTCGCTTTTTTGGAATGTTCTTCTAAGTATAGCAGTTTTTGCGCGTGGAGCAGGTTCATGTTTTATGATCATTTTGAATACTATTTTATATTTAACTCTATAACTGATTTTTTTTCACCTTAAACATTTACTTTAGCCGGAGTCTTTGTGTTCTTCTCCATTATCTACTTTTTCTTAGGGCCTATGGGAGCCTTTTACTTTTGGTATCGTCCACTTTATCGTGCTTTTAGGTAAGCTTGTTTTCGATACAAGTATTCATATAATTTTCAAAGCAAAGTCCGAACTCCACACCATACAATGTCAAACTCCCCACAAACATAGTTTAAAACTCTCGATCATATCGGTTCTAATTAAATCAACACTATAAACCAAACCTAGTGTTATGCTCTTCACTTTGTACCAAAACATCAAACTTGGTTTATAGATACGCTGTTGAATATTTGATATGAAAGATTTGAAGTGTTAGTTTAGACGAAAACATTAGATTTATTAGGCGCCGTTCTAAAAAAAATATGTTATTTTAGACAAAATATGTTCTAAAAATATACATTTTGATGGATTGTGTCCTAGATTCAACTTCCAAACAATCAATGAATCGTTTCCCTTATGCTTTACAATGTATGTATTCAATAAATCTATAAATTTCTTTTTTAACATATTTATCATATACAGGACTAATAACGGTACAAGCTTTGGTTGTTTTTTCTTCAACTTCTTTGTGAGTATCTTAATTACGATCTCTTCAACTTTACATTTTTCCAACAATTATATATTATGACTTAGTTTTATTGTCCAATAGAATCACATTGTGTTCTTTAGCTTCGCTGCAATCGGGCCTCGCATAATATTCGTCGGACTGCAATTCGCGTGAGTTCCTCATACTTTTTGGGTTTCATCCACTTTCTATCTACTCTAATAAATGAAAATGATTTTGCCACATGTCATTCTCTTATAAGATTAGCCACATGTCATTTTGTCATAATTTGAGATATATTTATTTTCCACTTGTCATTGCTTTAATTTTCATTTTCAATATATCATTAATTTACTTTCCATAAATTAAGCCTACCATAATGACTATCAAATTTTAAATTTTAAATTTTAAATTTCAAATTCAATTCCAAATAAATTTACAGTTTAAACCTTTATGGTTAATATTTTGTTATAATTAACCCGTTTAGTAAACACTAAACACATAATTTTAATTAATTTATTCTTTGTATTTTTTTTCTCATAGTTTTCAATTATTTCAATTTCAAATTCAAATAAAATTTCTATTTAATCGTTCGTACTTAACATTTTGTTTTAATCAACCCGTATATTATACGGGTCTCACAACTAGTTCTATAAAATGGAACTTACTTCAAGATTTGTTTTTGTTATAGGGGGCTCTTGAATGCAATGAGCCTAATAAGCGACTATCCAGCCCTTGGGGTAAATTTTCAATTTCACTAATGTTGCCAAACTTAGACTTTTTTTTTTTCTACAAGTTGTAATAAGTAGCTTATAATGTTTTTTATTTTGTAGATTATGAGTTTTATCGGATTCGGCTTTTTTGCGATTGAGGTACTTCTAAGCATATGGGTTTTTCGACAAGTTTACATGCATTTTCGAGGGAGTGGTGGCAAAGCAACTACAGTATCAATCGATCTTTGAGCTATGGAAAATAATTGAGTATCAGCTTTCAACTTTCAACCGGACATAATTTTGCAATGAAAATGAGGTCGTTTTAGTATTTGGTCATGGTTTGTTGATGGTCCGTTGCTATTTAGAAAACGAGATTGTTTTATTTTTGTTTTAAAAACCTTATTTTGTCAAAATTTTGAATAATTATTCTTTATTATTTACATTTGTGGTTTATTGGCAGAAAATTCTAAAAGTGATTCAATTAGACTTAAAATTATTATAGTAGTTTTTTATATGCTTTAAAAAAAATTGTTTTTCCATATAACTCATAATTATTCTCATCATGTTTCACGAAATAAAAATATTAAAACATATTGAACAAAAATTTTAATAATAATAATAATAATAATAATAATAATAATAATAATAATAATAATAATAATCTTTGTATAACTTAAGTTCTTATCTGTTATTGTAGATCAAAACATGATTTAATATGAATATTTTGTACTTTTTTTAACATGCATTGTATTAATATTTATTTTAATTGTAACACTTTAAAAATCAAAGAAATTAAAAAATTTCAAAATAACCATCAATCAACATTGTTTACAAAAAGAATCATTGTTTCAAAAAAACATTATTTCAAAAAAACATTATTTCAAAAATAGAGTTTCTCAAGATCTAGTGACATAAAATAGGAAGTTGTGCACGATCACATCTTTGTTTTCTCACGATCCTCTGAAGTACCTAAAACCATAACTAAAACTGTAAGTCAAGCTTAGTGAGTTTCCCCAAAATACCAACACACACATACATATAACAACATATATTGGGTCCACAACTTAAAAAGTCTGGATTAACCCTGAGCCCACAGTATGAGTCTAGCATGCCAATCAGGCCCTCAAATCTTATCTAGATTGCTCTTGAGTCCACAACATAAGTCTGGCTTTCTCTCAGGGCCCACAACTTATGTCTGGATTGCTTTCGAGCCCACATCATAAGTTTGGCTTGCATTCGGGCCCACAACTTATGTCTGTATTGCTCCCGGGTTTGTTAGCTACCGCAAAAGTAGTACAACCTCAACCAAACACCATATGTCGACATATGAAACAAATAAACATAAACACAGAACCAGCAAATGCAGATAATCACACATATCTACCAATCAGCCACAATCTGGCATAATACTATCCTAACCAAGATAAACAGTCCAATGGGTCGGCATTAGTGCCTTTGATCCATGGGTACAGTGAGGAAAACTCACATTGCAGACTAACGAATAGTTGAGCAATACACTACTCCGAATATCAACTCTACATGTTATCTATTCAACAGAATAAGACCAAGGCTTAACAATAGCTCAAAATACCCTTAAATCAAACTTGGTCAACCCTGGTCAAAGTCAAAGTCAACGGTCAAGGTCCAAAAGTCAATGTTCCTTCCCAACGGAGTACGCCATGCATACTAAGAAAGTATGCCCAACATACTCTGATGTTGACCAAAAGCAGGGCGTACGCACAACGTACCTCCAAGTACGCCCAACGTGTGCTTCCCAGTCCCAAAACCCCATTAAGAGCTTATTCCATTAAGCCCTTCCGTCCAAAACTCAAAACCAAGCCCAAAATGATGTCCTAAGTCATAAAGTTTCCAACTTTATGACTTGCATTGTTATAAAGTGCTTAATGTCCAAAACTCTATGTTCTTAAGCCAATACGACCATCTAACACATGTATGGGTTACATAAAACACTCAAGCTCATATTTTTATGCACAAAAACACTCTGAAATGTCTAAAAGGACGACTCAAATGACTTAGAGTAACCCATACTTAAAATGTCAAGATAATGGGACCAAAATGCTCACAACTTTAAGGCTAATAAGATCTTAAACAAATTATCATCAAGTTCAGAGCTTTTTACCTTAAAATGATGCCAAATGGTGATGAGATTCTGAATCTAAGGTGCTTCATACTTCCAAGGTGGCCTTTTCTTTTTCTCATTACTTCTTAATCACCAAAAGTACCCACAAAAGCTTAAGAACACTCTCAAGGTGGATCATGGTTCTAGATGGACAAAATGGAAAGTGGATGCTAAAGAGGAAATGAGAAATGAGGAGTTAATGATGATTATATATGGACCAAACCCTAAAAATTAGGGTTTGAGGATACTTCACGTACGCCCTACGTACACAGTGTACGTCCAACGTACTAAGTCCCACACATGTACGCCCAACATACACAACGTACACCCAACATACTCATCTTAACACTCGGTTTTGAGTCGCTTTATTATTTAGGATTGTGACCCGATTATTGGTTATCATAAGGTTTAGGGCCTTGGGGAGGAAGAGGATTAACCCTTTTTGGATATGGGAATTATATAGTAGGTGATGAGAGAGTTCAAATGTGTTTCTGAGCCCAAGGGTATAACTATAATTTGGCAATTTGTGCCTTAATGAATTTTAAGTTTTTGTTAAGGAAGTTTTTTTAGCTTGTCTTATTTATATATCCTTGCAATGATATCGTTGTGAAAAATTGATGTTTGTGTATTTCTATAAATGGATATGATTCTTAGTTATGTTATTTATGGAAGTGTCAAAATTCTCTAAGTAATGAAAGATTCCCATTACCCAAGTTTCAATTGGATAGAAACTTGGAATCATACAAATTGTATTGTGTGATGTATGGAAATCATGGTACTTGGGAAATTAAGACTAATTCCTTGATCACGCAAGTATGTGAGTCAAGTGAAGGACTAAAGGACTAGAACAAGATGTTGTGCACTAGTCAAGTCCACCACAAATAACAATAAGACTATTCATCATAATTCACTAAAAGTCTAGTAAATGTGGTTATACTTACAAGATTAAGTGTAATTCTGAATCATTGAAAGGTTTCAATGAATGGCAGAACGAATAAGAAGAATCAATTAGGCAGAAAGATAAAAGTTTCTCTAATATAAGAAGGAGGGAGGGTACTTTTGTATGGGGTTTTATGATCGTCTTAATGATTAATAACCATATCACAATTGATCCTTTAAGGACATCTTAGTGCACTAGTATGGCTAAGAAGAAGAATCGAAAATTGTTGAAATGGTTAAATCAAAAAGATGAGCCATACTCGTTCCAAAATCAAGTCTTAGAGTCACACTCCTAGATTGTGACTTGAGTGACATAATATTAAGTAGGAATGTTATTACACTTGCAAATATTGGTTAATTGTGATGTCATGGATAAGACAAAGACCAACTAATACCAATTGTGTGTATCATTTGTCTTGATAAGAATCTTCACTAACTCTTGAATATTTGTTTGTCAAGAAATGTTTTCTTGATAAGAGAATCTTATATGTCAAGAAGTCAGTGGGAGCCTATATGATCTTGACAAGTTTCAAGAAGTAATCAAGAGTAAACATATTATTAAACACTAGCACACGACTTGAGGATTGTAGGCTATTGTGTTGACATATTCTTGTTTATGTGCCAATCCACTTGAGTGATTATGCATATGAGTTCTACAAGTTATCAATAGGTTGCATAAGGGTAAACACCTTGTTCAATTAAAGTACATTGACTGGCATAGATGAGCTGCTGGATAACTTGGAAGCAATGGTGGGACCCTTGATTGCAAGAAATTAAGAATGAAAAAGTTTTGTCCATAAGAGTTTGAATTTGTCACAAACATTATCTTATGATTATGGTTATGGCAGTTCACATGGATATGAATACATACACTATAAAAATATAAGTGTCATAAGGTTTCTCTCCTTCATGAAAATGAGTGTAAGGAAATGCTTTCACTATGAGAGATTTTAAGAAGATAGCAACTATGTAGATTGCATTCTCAAATTCGATTATGATTACAGCATCCCTCTTTATAGTTCGAATTGTGAGATTTGGCAATTAGTCTGAACATTTAGGACCTAATAATATAAGTTCTGGATTAGTTTAGACACACATGTGAGCTGTCTGAGGAAAGGTATATGAGTTTGAAAAGCTTAGATAAAGGCTTATCAAAGCACATCGTATTGGAAATATGAACTTTGGAAGTCAATAAGTATTGTCTTCTACAAGTTCAACCATTTTCTGAATACGTGTCAAAGCTAGTGGAAGCATAAATGTTATGCTGGAATGGATATAATCATCATGTTAGTGGGAGCATGATTATTATTTAAGTATTGCTAGTTAGCAATATTAATCATAGAAAAACAAAATTTTCACTTTGCAAATTTGCAGGGGTTGAAAATTTGTTTTTGTTATAATTAAGGGAGAAAATGTTATACTTCGTTTCCAATCTAAAAGCTTAGATCGATAAATTTTAATTAAATTTAGTCAAGGGTATATTTATTATTTGCATTCTCAAAGTTTTATTATGATTATGACATCCCTCTTCATAGTTCGAATTTTGAGAACATGGCAAATAGAAATATTATGACGATATTATAGTAAGAAACTGGTAAAGTATCACGTTTTTCATTATGAATTGTATCCTATACGCTTCAGGTGTAGGATCGATTGCATATGCTATAATATTCAACTGTTCTAAAATTTTCAAATGCCTAGGGCATTTAGAGGGAAAAAGGGAATAGAACCGAATTTGACTAAAATAATTAAATAACTATCAAGGACAATCTAAGGTTCGCCAAGGATTGGTCGCTTGTGGACAGTTAGAAGTATAGTCATGGATGGACCATATTGACATTATTATGAATAGATAAGATTCTATTTAGAATGAGTTTTCATATGGTAAATATGGAAATGTTTCCATATTAGGAGTTGGATATCGAGAATCAATGTCTAGATTAGAAACTTTTATGCAAGAAGGATGTTCAAAGGAATGTACTTTGAATATAAGACTTCATGACTATGGAATTGTCTTGTAACAATCTCCAATAAAGCATTTTGTAATTTCATTGGCCGAGTCTAGGTGACTTTTGTGCGGTGACATTACGAAATGACTGTTGTATAAAATGTTAGAATCTTACATATTCTAGTAGTGGCGAGAATTTTGTATTCTTATACTAATGGATTA